GAACTTAGAATACTTTTTATTCCCATCATCCTCTTCTTCAAAACCTTTGAAGGATCTAGCCTAACTCTTAGTTTTTCTTTGGTATCTAGAGATTCAATTCTCTAGTGAGGTATTGATCTATTATTTTGAAGTATTTTTATGTCATTATTGAGTGTTTTATATGCATGGAAGAGAATGACTTGTATTTTGCCCTTAAACTGTTTTAACTTGAAATTAATCTTATCAAATTAAATATAGAATATGAAAATATACTCAATTAGCTTTCATTTAGTTTTGGTTTCACATAATTTGGATTTAAAATGAATTGGTTATGAATTTTTGAAGTTGCAAGCTAATTGTTGGAAATTTGAAGCTTTTCCTTTTCAGTCCGGAAATGAATTTTTTATATAAAGTTTTGATGCTTCAATTGCCTTGAAATTTTTACTGGAACTTTCTCCATGGGTTTTACACTACTCAGAATTTTTTTACGATTTTAGAGCATTTATAATTTTTTTTAAAAATACGAAACTATCTGTTATCCATGTTTTTATTGCAGCTGGAAAACATATTTTTAGATGATTTATTTCACTAACCTTTTGACATTGGATCATGGCTTAAATTTTCAATTTTACACTCTCATATGTTTCCTTCCAAAATAAATTAGGTTTGCCCAATTTGGATGTCAAATGAATTTTTCATGAATTTTCAAAGTTGGAAGCTACGGGCTGAAAATGTGTTTTCTGGGCAGAAATTGTTTCAAAGTTGTGGGGCAAAACTATTTTAATTGGGAAAATATTTTGTTAAACTAAATTGATATTATCAAATTAAAGTGTTTAAGCTTTCATTGGGCTTTAGATTCATTCAATTTGGGTTAGAATTGAATTTTTTATGAATTTTACAAGTTGAAGGTAGCAAGCTGAAAAATTTGTTTTGCGGACCGAAAATTTGGGGTGATTTCATTTCGGTGGTAATTGGGATTTTTATTCCAATTGAGATAGGGAATGTTTTAGGATTATTTGTGTGTTGTATTGTGTGTTTGCCATGATTATACAACATATATGTATGCCTTGTATCAAATCTAGAAAGTTAGTAATTTTTATTTCTTTGTATAAGATTTAAAATTTATGATGATGTATAACTTTGATTTGAATTGTAACATGTTAGGAAATTATGCTTAGATATGTTGGTTAACATATATTAAATTTGGATCATTTGATTAAGAATTACAACTTTTATTTAATATTTATCTTTAGTGAAAGTTTAATTCACATGGTTGTATCAAGCATTAAATCAAGTTGTAATGTGGTATTTAAATAGGCCTTGGCATGTTCTCTAACATAAATTAAATTGAGGGCATTTGGAATTGTTTAAAAATCTAGAGGAAATTAATTAATTAGCTTGATTAATTTTGTTTTAAGTGTTTTAATCACTTAACTTGTCATTTGATGTTATATATATGATGACCATGACATGTCTTTCAATATATATTAAATTGAGGTTATTTCGATTAATTTGGAATTTAGAGAATTTAATTATTTATGTTTAATTAAATTCTACTTTATTACTCCATGGATTTAATTACATTTTGGAAGTTGTTTCTATATTTAAATCATGTATTTGGATTTAATGTATGTTCACTTGATTACTTTTGAGTATTGGATAACATAGTTGTTATTTTTATATTCATGAGAATATGTTTTTCCTTATTGAATATATTGTTGCTATGTGTAAGGAATTGCACACTTTGTATCTGACATCTTACATGTCATAGTAGTTGTGAATTTTGAGCATGTATTATATAAGTTTCCAAAATTTGGATTATGCTTGGTAAATAGTTGATATCTTGTATATACATGTTGATATATATACGTTGTTGCACAATTTGTTGATTTTGGAAACTTGGGGATGTCGGGACTTAGTTCTAGTACGGGGGATTGTCCCTCTATATAGTCTAGTGCACACATAGGGAGGTTACCCATGGGCTAGTAATCCTAAAGTAACTATGTTGTTGGTCTGATCCGGCGTGACGTCCGAGTATCCACTTTGTTTGATTTCATATTTCATTTCAAGTTGATAACTAGATGATATCGTAACTTGTTGTTCCTTATTTGATTTCCTATTTTGAGCTTAAGATGTAGCTTTGTGAAAGCATGCTTCATGCGTTGTATTGGAAGTTCCATTGTTGGTTAAATTGCATCGATATCATAATTTGTGTTTTGATGTTCAAATGTAGTTTAGGAATGACCTTATAGATTCATTTTGAACATAGACGTTAGGTGGCATGACCCACACTTGTTGTTTTCGTATTTTGGATTTCAAGTTGAAGACTTTGAGAATCTATATCTTGTTCCCTTGTATAACATGTTTCCATGTTGTTTGAATTGCATGAACAATGTGATTATGATATAAATGATCTAGGTAGCTTAGGATGCTCCCTAGGTCTCATCTTGATATAGACGTTAGGTGGCATGAACCCCTTTAACATGTTTCACCATAAGGTGATCAAATTGTAAAATGCTAGGTCGATGCATGCTCATCTCCTACGAGTAGCTTTATGTTATTCACCCTTATGATACTGGGGCATATTTCAGGTACAAGACTCAGGATTTGAAGATTCCATTGCTCCTTGGATGGCTTACAGTTTCTAAGTTTCTATTTTATGCAAGTGTTAGCATAAGATGCCTCTTTGTAGCCCTATTTGTTTGAACTTGTATTCGTTGATTCATATATGTAAAGTGTACGTAAGTGTACTCTTTTCAGTGTATTTAACATGTATGAAATGAGGCCGGAGGCCAATGACATGTATCTCATTTTCTATGCACTTTTGTTTTCAAAGTTTATTATGAAAATATTAGAAAATGTTAAGCCATTGCTTTATAACTTTCGCATCGGGTGTTGGAATTTCATATCTTTTCTGCCCGGACTTAGAATCAGACGATTCTTGAGTCTAATTTTGTTCATTTTTCGTTGTCCTTCCAATTGTGTGCATGGTGGCATCCTTTTCAGTGAGAAATGACCATTTTGCCCTTAGTTCATCTCTTTTCAGTTTAGGCATTCTTGCTTCATTTGCTTGGCTCATTTGAGTTCCGTGGCTTCATGGAGAGTCATTTTGGGGCCTTAGGGATGACGTACATCTCTTGAGGTCATTTGGCTTCTTTCGCTTCCACATTTCGGGTCCGTTATCGGGTCAACTTCCGGTTCATCACTAACGCACCGGGTTAAGAAATCCGGGTCGTTACATGCTCAAAATTCAAGTACATTGTTTTGGTAAAATGATCTTTAAATGTTAAAATGCTTTGTGATCACACTTGTTGGGTTTCAAATGATTAAAAAGGAAATTTTTGAACTTTGTTTTGAAAAATGAGAAGTCGAGTTGCATGATTCCTTCTTTTGTTATTCATTCATTGCATGATTCTTGTCATGAAGCTTGTATACAATGCAATTGAATGTTTTAACTCCATAGTTTTAAAAAATTCTAATTTTGCCCCAAAAATGTAGAGTAATTCCAAAGTTGACCAAAATGCAGCTGTTTGAGTTGAAGCTTGTTCCATTTGGTTCCTTTCCATCCATTTGCATGCTCTAAGTGCCTTTGAACTTGTTTGTGATGCAATTCTTGATTCTTGCCATGCTAGGGCACAAGTTTGTTATTTTCTGACCTTCCTTATCATGATTTTGATCTTCTCTTGCAAAATGAGATGAATTCCCATTCCAACCTAACTTTTTGAAGTCAAATGATTCAATTGTTGCTTAATGACTTTGAAACTTATCAAACGTGATCTCTTTTGAATAATTGTGCGCCCTTTGAAATAATTGCAACTTGTTGGTTATTTATACACCATTTTGCACACACTTATGTCATATTGACAATTTTTAATAGTTTTGTGCATATTCAGAACATATCTTCTTGGAATTGCTCTTTGACTAAGTTTGGGGGTGTGTCATGGTTATTTGAATTTAAAATGCATGATTTGGATGATATTTCTGTTCTTTGGCCTTGGTATCACTTCTTGAGCTTAACTTGAATTATGAAATACAATTTGAACCAAGTTTGGGAATATGTCTGCTTTATCTGGATATTTATCTGTTGAATGCCATTTACTTGATCTTATACACTTGTGATCCATTCCTGAGAGCCAAGTAAGGGCTTATGACCGAGGTTCTTTTTGGTCCTGATTTTGATTCTACAATGGTAAGCTTCTTGTAAACTCAAGTATTTGACCATTCTTTGCTTCATTTAAGCTTAAAGGGGGTCGCGAGCCATAAACGATCATTTTTCTGCTTATCTATTGCTTAGAGGGGGTCACGAGCCATAAGTGATCATAGGATGTTGATTTTATTACATTAGAGTACAGGATATTTCTTTGTCTAGAGTCTGTTGATATTTGTACATCATTCAGATATATGGCATCTCATTGCATACTATGTCAAGGATTCATTCTTGAACTTGTCTGTCATGACATGCTTTGGATTGAAGTGTTTTGCAACCGTACATTCCACTTAGTCTTTATTACATGACATGCATACTTCTTGAGTCCTAGGTTGACATTTGCCATGATTATATGCTCCATGTTATCCTGTTTCATCCATTTGATCTTCACTGTTGCACTTGTAGACACTTTCACTTAGGAACTGATACGTTGTCATCCTAGGGTCTACTTGTCATATCATTGCAGCATCTACATGAGTTTTAGGTTTGTGAATGCACGTTGCATCATTTATGCACAGCACAGCCTATATTTGTCCTGTTGATCATATTTCTGCTCAAAATGTTCCAAATGTGACCTTTCTGCCCTCTATGCCAGCACTGTATTATTATGTATATCTGAGATTGCTTATTGTGCTTTAATCTATTTTGTCTAGCTGAGATACTTGTGAAGCCTTTTTAATCATTTCTTGCACAAGCATGATCTTATTTGTTTATTCTCTATTTCTAGTTGATTCAGGCATGATTTGTGTTTTCATTATCAGTTGCTTACCTTATCCTCTACCTGTGCACTGATTTATTCTTATTGCTTTTGCAGTTGCAGCGCCGATAAAAGACTCTTGCTAGGAAAAGAGTACAGAGAGTTCCACAGCCTCCTCCATCTCCAGAGGCAAAGTCTTCGTCGTCTTCATCTTCTGCATCTACAGCAGCCCATTCCGAGCCATCTTCTATGGAGGCCGAGCATCCTATTGTTCGAGAGGTTCCAGCTATTTCCTAATCTCGGTGGAAGCTGGAACCCAAGTACAAATTCGACCGTGATTTATTTTTCGAGTTGGACCAGACCAAGTGGTCTTATGATGAGCTTGTTCGGATCTTATGATAAACTTGTTCCGAGGGCATCGATGCTATCATGACACCGGCAGACACAGTTGTCCATCCTCGGTTGGTTGCATTGTAATGACCCGATCATTTTCATTCTTTTTCTTTTTACTTAAATTTTACGGATAAATTTTTTCTGTTGTCTTTTCTCTTCTGTGCTTGGTCTTCCGTCACTTAGTGTCATATCGAGTGCTCGAAAATGGTTTTTGAGACTCTTTTCTTGGGATTGACAACTTCCTTTAAGGACCGAGTCATTTCCACATTTTTCATTTTTCGTCACTATTCACTTTTTGTCTTTTCTCGGTTTCTTTTTTTGTTGCATAACCTCAGTTTTAGCCCTCGGATTTGACTTCGGCTTTGCATGCATCCATGATATTTAATTTCTATGATATTTACATTTTTACTTTTGTATAAAAGCATGCTAAATGTTTACTTTTCTTGTAAAGGGCATGGATGCATAACCTTTGGTAATTTTCTTAAATTTTTGGGGTTTTAGTGTAATTACGAAAAATAATTAATTTTCATGTTAGAGACCTTTTTGCAATTAAATTTGGAAGATATTTTCAAAAAAGAACCTTTTTGCAATTTTTGAAAAGTGTGACAAGTGTCACACTCCTATTGCTACATTTGTTGACATTTTAGTGGAACCACTTGGAAGCTTAATCTCTTGACACATGGAGGGTGAAGATTCACCCATTTGTTGGCCTAGGATTGGACCACTTGTTGGTTTGGATGAGTGACAAGTGTATGCTCAAAATTAAGTCTTGCAATTAATTTTGGGCCACTTTGGGATTATGGTTTTAAAGAAGGGTTTTTGTGCAATTGACTAAGACTTGTGTGTGTTGACTATGGTGTAGGATCACATAGTAAGTGGAGGATTTCTATTTCCTCCACTCACACTTTATCATATTATATCATCATCTTCCTCACCACAAAACCTAGCCACCATTAGAGAAGCTTGATGCTTAAGCTTTGAAAGTGATTTTTGAGGCCCTTCCACTCACCTTCGACCATTAAGCTTGGAATATTTTTTGTTCCCCTCATCCTCCTCTACATAACCCTTGAAGAGTTTGCCATTTTGTATTGATTTGCCTTAGATTCTAGAGAGACACTTCTCTAGTGAGGTAGGGAATGATTTATTATTATTTTTTGATGTGTATACCATGTTTTGTATGAAATCTAGGATTTAATTTAATTATTCGTTAGTTAAAAATTAATTCACATGGTTATATATGATGAAGAATTAATCACGGACTTGATATTTGATTAGGCCTTGTTTTAATCTATGTTATATATTAATTTGAGAAATTTTGGAGTTGTTTTGAAAACTAGAGATCTATTGAAATTTTATGTAATTAAATTTTATTTAATTACTCCATTGATGTAATTAAGTTTTGACTTTATATTAGTGATTATCATGTAACGACCCTGACTTGGAGGCCCGGATCACTACACGGGTCCTTACTCGAACCCGAGGTTACCTAGGTTCATCACAACATTTCTATGGTCAACACACCATTACAACACTTGAGTAACACTTAGAGACGATCCCATGAACACTGGTATGCTCAAGGTGACAAAATCCGGGATGAGAGAAGAAACTTGCCAAACAACCTCATTTCGGGTCGTCCGAAATGAGCTCCAAAGCTTCGGTCGTCTGAAGCTCTGTTTCAGACGTCCGAAGAGAAGATGTTGAGAGGGTAAGAGGGGTTCGGTCGACCGAACCTCATTTCGGTAGACCGAAATGAAGATCCCGCGAGCACCCTCAACTGTTTCGGTCGACCGATGCACCATTTTGGTTGACCGAAATGGAGATCCCGAGCCTGAAAACCTGCATCCTAGGAGCTGCACTTAAAAAAGAATAAGGAAGCTTAAATGGAACTTCAACATGGCTACACTTGGTTTAAACATTGCGAAAATACATCGTACATTAATCATGGACGAAACACCAACTCTTGATCCCATAAACCCACATTTAATTATAATTCGTTTACAAGGAAATATACATCATAGTTACATAACCAAAAATCTATGAATGTACAAGAGAATGTCCAATTACAAAAGTAGCAAAAGTAGTCTTCTAACAACTTTCAAGCTTGAGGTGGATTGTCATCCACCGGTTCATTTCCAAGACCTGAAAAAAAATAATATATTGTAGGGTGAGCATAAAGCTTAGCAGGTGACACTTAAGACACATATCTTGTGTCCTTGTGAATCCAATCAAAGCATAGGCCAATGGGAAATGGGGATCATGCAACATAGGGGATTAATACAACATACAAGTCAAATCCAAGCATAATCAATGCGATGTAGTGAAATGCAATGCATGCAAATGTCACTCCCCATTTTCATCATTCAAAACCATCACTTTCAAATTGTTAATACAGCCCGCCCTTTGGTAACCCCGCCACGACACGAGAGGAGGATTTGTTACTGTCCCTGACCCTTGGTAACCCCGCGGTGTCATTATGGGGCCAGCTAGCTCAACCACGCTAGGGTGACTCCCTAGTCCCCTCTAGGCTATATTAACCTCTGGCCCGTTGGTAACCCCGCAGCCACCGGGTTTGCATAAAATCATTTCATCAAAACACTTCCCTGAAATTCCCCATTTTCATGTTTCAAGAACAAACTTCTCCCGTTTCATGCAACCCAATGGTACATGCATGTATATATGTTCCATATTTCCAACATTATGGCATTTAAAGAATTGCAACATCCAATCAAACATATATCATGTTCAACATTTCTAGATAGGTCATCAACATATTAAACACAACAAAATACATCTAAGCATGCTTTTCACATAAAACAGCTCATGTACACAAACATATATTTCTCTAGACAACATCTCATATGATCATTAACATAATTAATTCTCAAATAAAGCATGTTAACACATAAGAGAGATGTAATTCACAATGGACAAGAAAGAAGTGGATTAAGAGCCCCTATCTCAAGATTGCACCAAAACCCTTAAAATAGGTCCACAAATTTGAACTCCAAGGAGGGTAGTAAATCTGGAATTTCAGGTATGGATGCGTAGAGCTCGTCGTGCTCTTCGTTTTGCCTCAAACGACACCTTAATCCGATAAGAGATGAGAGAGAAATCTTGATTCAAAGATTTGAAACTAAAGTGAAAAAGAAAATGAAGAAGAAGAGAGGAAGAGAGAAGTGACGGGGAGAGAGAAAAAATAAGAGTAAAAATGTGGTCTCTAGACCACTTTGTGCATAGTGGTGGGTCCCACCACTCATTTTCTTTTCTTTTCACTTTTTCTTTTGCTTGAAAATACACCTTACACATATGAATGCACCACCAAGCAGATACTACATGATTCCATAAATTAAAATGCACCAATTGCAATTGGACCCAACCACAATCCCGAACGCAACATGCGAAATGACCAAAATGCCCTTACATCAATGAAATTCCGGAAAAATGGAAAAGGCTGAAAATTGGAAACGTTACAATCTCCCCAACTTATAAGGATTTTGTCCCCGAAATCAAGCCATGCCTGGGGAAGAAAACAACTCTGGGTACTTGGAGCGAACCAGCTGCTCAAGCTCCCAAGTAGTCTCCTCAAATCTGTGGTGTTGCCAAAGAACTTTCACCAACTGCACCGTCTTGCGCCTTAACACCTTTTGTTGTGTGTCAAGGATCTGCACTGGTCCCTCTTCATAGGAAACATCTTCATCAACGTCCACGTCAACCCAATCCAAAACGTGAGATGGATCTGGTTCGTATTTCTGTAACATCGACACATGAAAAACATTGTGAACCTTGTCCATCTGTGGTGGCAAAGCAAGTCTGTAGGCCACTTTTCCTACACGGTCCACAATCTCAAACGGTCCAATGAATCGTGGCGACAACTTGCCACTTTTCCCTAACATTATCGATCCTTTCCGTGGAGAAACCCTTAGAAAAACATGGTCTCCTACCTTAAAAGATAGCGGTCGTCTCCGCCTATCTGCATAGCTCTTCTGTCGGCTTTGAGCTGTGAGCAACCTTTATCTAATCAACTTAATTTTCTCGGTAGTCTCGAGTACAATGTCGGGTCCTAAGCCAGCTGTCTCGTCTACCTCAGTCCAACAAACTGGAGATCTACAAGGCCTACCATACAACGCTTTAAATGGAGCCATTTTAATGCTTGCCTGATAACTGTTGTTGTATGCAAACTCAATAAGTGGAAGGTGATCTTCCTAACTACCTCCCAAGTCAAGCACACATGGCCGAAGCATATCCTCCAGAATCTGGATAGTACGCTTTGACTGGCCGTCCGTCTGTGGGTGAAATGCCGTACTCAGGTGCAACGCTGAGCCAAACGCTGCTTGAAGTCCTTCCCAAAGCTTGGAAGTGAACTTTGCATCCCTATCTGAAATAATGGTTACTGGAACTCCATGTAACCTTACAATCTCCTTCACATAAAGAACACCAAGTGCTTCTGCGTCATCCGTTGCCTTAATAGGTAAAAGTGAGCCATCTTGGTCAATATGTCTATGATGACCTATACGGCCTCGTTGCCTCTCCGTGACCTCGGAAGACCTGTCATAAAATCCATAGCAATATGCTCCCATTTCCACTGCGCTACAGGCAATGGTTGTAGTAATCCTGCCGGCTTCTGATACTCTGCCTTCACCTACTGACAGGTAAGACACTTAGCCATAAATTGTGCAACGTCTTTCTTCATCTCATTCCACCAATACTGGCATTTCAAATTGTGATACATTTTGCTACCACCTGGATGAACTGCAAAGCGGGAAGTATGAAACTCCTTTAAGACGTCCTCACGACAACCTGTGGAAACCACCAACAAACCCTTGAACCGTAGACCTCCATCTTCATGCAAGGTCCAATCTTTCATTGTCTCACCACTAGAGATCAAAGCGTGAACGACATCCAAATCTGGGTCCTGTCTCTGTGACTCAATCACTTGCACAACAAGAGTAGGCTTAGCCACAAGACTAAATAAAAATGCCGACTCACTACAAACCTCATCATCGAAACACTGCAATCCCATCTCTGCCAGATCATTAAGCATCTTCCATTTCCGAATGGCTAAACTTGCCAAAGCTCCACGAGATTTTCGGCTTAAGGCATCAGCTACCAAATTTGCCTTACCCGAATGATATTACAAGTCAAAGT